TGCCCGTGGCCGCCGTGGATGCTGCCGCCGTGGCCAGCTGCGGCTCCCCCGCCCCCGGTTTGGTGCGAATGGGATGCGCCGCCGCCGCCGCCGCTGCTGCCACCGCCGGAGGCGGACGCGGGCCGGCCATCGGCCGTTAGGATCGTGCCTGCTGGGATTTCGGGGAAGGCCTCTAGCGAGGTTGCTGAAATGGACGCCGGCAGTGACGGCGCTGGGTGGGAGTACGTCGGCGGCGGCCCGTTGGCTGACAGCGATTGCTGCGGCGACGACTGCGTCCCCGGCATCGACACTGAGCCGGACTCCGCCGCCGCCGTCGTAAAGCCGCCGCCGCTGCCGCCGCTGGCGTGGCCTGACGCCGACACCTGGTGATGCATGCTCGTAACCCCCGGGGAGCCCAACCCCGGCCCGCCGCGGAAGCTATTGCCTGAACCCTCTTGCGCGCCGCCGCCGCCGCCGGCGGTGGAGCCGTGCCCCCCATTCCCGCCGCCGCCGACAGTGCCCATCGCCGCCGCCACAAGCTGCTCTGACCGCCGCGCACGGTACATGTGCAGCAACCTGTTGAAGTGCAAGTCCGCGTCCACAAACTCTTTTTTGAAATTCCGATCCAGCTGTCGCTCCTCCGCCGCCGCGGCGGCGTGCTTGGACTCCAGCTCCGTCAACGCCGTACGACGCTCCGTCAGGTCCGCCGCCGCGCGCCCGTGGGCCTCCTTGGCAGCTCCCAGCCTCGCCAGCAGCTGCTTCTCCACCGCCTCCGACGTTTTCGCGCAGCGCGCCAGCCCCGCCGCCAGCGCCAGCGTCCGCGCTTCCAGCGCCGCCACGGCAGCGGCAACGCGGTGCCGCCGCGCCGCCAGCCCCGCCAACGCCTCGTCGAATCGACCCACCACATCCTCCACCGCCGCTTTGGCCGTACGCAGCTCCAGCTCCAACATGCCCACACGGCGGGCACGCTCTTCCTGGAGATTTTTTTCCCGCGCTTGCCAGTCCTGTAAAGAGGGCCGTGGCGGGTGGCGGGTGGCGATGGGTATGCTGATGGCCATGCCATGGCTGGGGGGGTTTGCAGCAGGTGGTGGTGGTGGTGGTAGTAGTAGTGATTAGGTATGATCAGGCATGTCAGTGATATGGACAGGTTGTGATTGCGATGGAAATGTGCTGGCCGTGGCCGTGGCCGTAGCGGTTGGCGGTATGTATGTATGTATGTATGTATGTATGTATTGGTGGTGAGGGAAAAACACGCGGATTCTGATCTCTGACGACCCCCAACCGGAGGAACCACAGGGCCCTCCACAGCAACAGCACAGCGCCGTATCCACCGCCCAGCCCTGTCCGTCCACAACCCCATTCCACGCATACATAGACACACACACACACACACGCAAATTCCCCCCCACACGCAAATTCCCTCCCACATGCAACCTCCAACCCCCCACCCCACCCACCCACCCCACCTTCAGTTCTCGCGCCTGCTCCTCCGAAAGCATCTTAGGGTTCACCGTATCGGGGTCCAGACCCATGGCAGCCAGCCACGGCGGCGGCGGCAGCGAGAAAGGGTTGCCGTCGCCGTCGACGCCGCCACCGCGCGGCGCCAGCGTGCCGCCCATCATCTGCCGCAGCGCCCGCTCCCCCGCGTTGTCGCGAGCGGACCGCTTGGTGGCCTCCTCCTCCGCGCGACGAGCTGCCTCCTTACGAGCTCGCTCCTCCGGGGTGATGTACCGCTCCACCCCCACCTCCTCGTCCCGCACGGATAGCACCGTCGCCTGCGAGTGTGAGACGACGCGGGATCATCATAGGACAGGAAGGGGGGGAGGGAACGTGGTTCAGCGCTGTGCGGGGCCGTCAGTGCGATATGATGCAGCGTTATGCTCCAGTAACGGATTAATTATTATTGGGTAATAGGTCGTATTTGATTGGGTGCGGACATGGACACACAGACGGGCACACAGATTGATACTAACATATATGTATATACATACATACATACATACATACATACATACATACATACATACATACATACATACATACATACATACATACATACATACATACATACACACACATATATATACACATATATGCCCAGCAGCACACGATCACAGCTTGCAGTGGTACTACTGCCGGCATCATGTCAAAGCATGTTACAGACATAACAGCGCAATTTAACAGCCAACATGCAAATAGGGTATATAAAAACATGATTTTTCGTCAACCAGGAGCGTGTTGAGGCAGCCGGCTTTCCTTTCCTGGAAGCTTTCATGACCCAAACCCATCCAAAACCACGATGCATCCCAGCTACACTAACCCAGTCACTTATCCATCCCCCCTCCCCTTCTCCCCCCTCTTCCCCCCTCCAGCTATGGCTTTGGACGTCGACAGTTAACTCTGAGCTCTCTTTGCATGTGTGTGCGTATGTATGTGCTTGTGATGTGAGGATGACGCGGGTGCTGTGTTTCTGATGGCCAGCTTCGCACTCCCGTTAATGCTCCGTGTCCCCACCCACCCACCCGCTGCCGCACGCGCACACCCAGTCACACCCGTGTTTTCCCTTCACATGCTGTACATGCAATACGGATATACGTATGTGCCACTGCTTGGATGTGTATGTGTGTGTTACACCATCCATCCCTTCCGGAGCTGCGGTAGTTGTTGTCGCTGAAGGTGTATTGACAACGAGCGAGGGCCATTACATAACCGGATCACCGAGGTAGGTAGTTGGGCCCCCCAAGCGCCAGGGCCGAAGGCTGACAGAAATAGATAGATGACATGATGATTCCCCCTTCCCCTCTCC